CCCCGCCCTCTCACCAAAATTTATTTTACCCACTGTACTATTTGCATAGAAGTGAAATTGCCCTCCCAAATCGAAAAATCTCCCCGCCCACTCCTCTATAAAGTATTTCCCCGCCCGCTCACAAAACCTTACTCGAACAGCTTTTCACACGAACAGCTTCGTTGACTGCTTCCAATTATATGAAAGTAGATTATAATGTGACAAGATTACAGTAGCAATTTAATATTATGTAAATGCGATGCATAGTTTAAAGTTCAGAATGTACATATACCCAAGCGAGTATATATTGTGAAATGCGTAGATACAATGTAGTAATGTCAATGCGATTTCACGCCAAGGTTAGATACTGTACGCACAAAACGAGAACAACACGCAAGCAGGGTTTTTGAGTTATATTGATTATTTGAAGTAAAACACATTGAATTATGAATTATGTATTGAAATATGGCTGTATTGAATTAACGTTGAGCTATCTATTGTTTACAATGTGATGTGTGGTGGGATATTATACAACGATAAACAAAGTATATAATTAAGAAAATTAAATTAAATAAAGTTCGTTGTTGCCAAATTATTTATGCAGACCCATGCTTTACTTGCCTTGTTGGTGATAGACAATTGGCAAAGTACGCATGATGTTGTTCCGTTTTATTACAGGTGTTATTTGCTCAGCTGAAATATATCACCTACATGTCCCGTCAAAGAGAATGTTGCACTGTGCATGCACGCCTATATACATGACTTATGTTATGCATTTTATGAATTCCATTCAAAGGTAGTCACTGTTTTTTTGGAAGAATTGAGATCAAGGTTCTTCCGAAAACTGTAGGATTTCTTCAAGTGTAAATTGTAACTGACATGATACACGATATAATAAAACGACCTTACCTGCGTTGTAGAAAATATATCTGCAGGTGGAAACAGTACCAGTGCAACGGTCGCGACTAAATCGAATTATGGCGAATTATGGGTGAAACCATTTGTCATTGATTAAATGCGTTGTTGCAAGGCATGTTGATGTAGCACGGATATATTGTTATGTGTATGACGTTAACTTCTTACTATAGTTTGTGGCAATAGTATTTGGGTTCTCAATCCCCAGAAAAAAAACTATTAAATTATGCTTTTGATGATAATTGTTACTCGGTTAGTGGATTGACCCAGCCGTTTACAACGTAAGCACGATTGGAATTAAATGTGATTAATTTGTGCTTTGCCACTCATAGCTATATATAAATATTGCATAAATACCAATATGATCTGTATAGAGTACAGAAAAGAAAACAATAATGGTTTGTGAGTAATTGACTGCAAGTACTGACTGTTACTTTGCATTCCCTTATTCTTGAAGGAATAACGTATAACTTCTAAGATGTTATTATTCTGCATGAATAAATCATTATACTTCATGTAGGCAATAGGCGCTTCCTATATCTCAATGATATGCGCGTCATATTATGGTGTTGATAATGGTGTTAGTAATGTGCTTGTAACTTGTATTTATCAGATTTAAGTTCAAAGTTTTGTGAAGTAACAACTATTTTCTATAATCTAACGCAGCGGATTATATTATGTATTGATGGTTGTTATATTGTCGGGTGCTGATCAACAGGTTAGTCTTGTTTTCCGGCAATGCAGAACCGAAGAATCATGAAAAAGCTAAAGTGAACGATATAAACCGCCCAACAACCGTACATGTCGTATATATTATTCTTGTTACTAGTAGCATATATATTGTGCTCGTAAGTATTTATCAATTTCAAAAAAAGTGTTTAAACTTGCCTTTATTTGGTTACTACGCTATTCATGTTGTAAATAATTCCACACGTATCCCTGAAATATTTAATGAAATACGCCATCTGTTGACAAAAATGAGTAATGACTGATGCATACAAAAAAATGAATCGTTCCCTCAGGAGATAATTTTATCGAATGTCGTTTTTGACATCAGGTCTGTTGAACGCACGTATCTTCAATATGTTGGTCAATAACACATTCGAAGTTCTTGATTCAAGTTCAAGAGTTTAATTGATAATATATCTTTAATGATTGTAGGTCTGAGGTAAATTCAAGTATGGCCGAAAAACTCTCAAGCCAGTTACAATCATATAAAATTCACCACCGATTTGAGGTTTCATTAACGATTCTGCTACAACCTGCATTCAATTATTGTTCACTGTAAATCCTACGATTTAACGTCAAGAATAAAATGAGCCAAATTAATGAAGAGCAGATGCTAACCATTAATGTTTTTTATTGAAATTAAATTGGTCAAATGCAGGGTGAATAATAATAAAATTATAATTGGAATGACGAAATTAGTTGTATATGATTTGTAAATCAATTGTCATAAATTTGAAGTAATCAATTATAGAACAGTTGTTATCAAGCGCTAAATAAAAAAACAAACAAACAAAAAAACACATATGTACTTATGAAATTGTTAAGGTTTTTTAGTTTTAGTTTTACGGTTTTAAATAAGCTGATTCACTAGTACACTCTGCGTTGGAAACGCAAACGACATTCAATGGCACCATAGTTATGATGCAATGTAGGGAACAATTTGTCAAAATGATGAAAATAATAAAATAATACCTTAGAAGATAGTTTACATTATTGATTTTGATGTAAGAGCTGATGTTTGTTCTGTTGTTTGTGTTTATGGGAAAGTTGTTTCTTAACAAAGACTGTTTATAATTATTGATTGTTTTCAAATTAACAATTTAACATAAAATCAACATTTTTGCTCTCATTATTAATAGCCAAGATGGCCATTACATGAAAAGCCGCACTGCGCGTGATCAAAGTATGACACTAACTCTATTTATGCAGATAACATGTCACCGTAACATTCGGTATTTCGTTGCCTATAACACCATTTCAGAAACACAACACCAAGACTTTTCTGGCATTTAAATAATCCAACCTCTTCCTGTTGCCTTTCACACTCAGGGAAATACGTGTTCATCAGTCATGGAATCATCGCAACCCTTAATCGTATGTCCACTACTCATCAGTCAGCTCCGATTTTTGGTGGACATATCACGGGTGTTTAACGTACCTATACATTGCAATATCGCCTAAGCGACATAGCTTATACATTGTCGATTTCTCACAGACTTCACAGGTGTCAACAAAAGATAAATTATTCACCATATTCAATGTAGCTTATACTACTACCTAACATGGATTGCGCATAATCCAATGAGGTTGACAATGAATTTAAAATTATGGATGTTCATTTTGTGTGGTTATTTCAGTGATTATCGTAATGATCGACTTCATAGCACTTTTTTTGATTGCGTGATAAACATATCACGTGATCAATATATATCAAATTCCTGATTTATAAAACTTGTTTCGTAAGCTCGAAACATTACTACACAATTTCGACAAATCAATATATACTACGTTAATTAATATGGGAGAATTCAGCCTATAAATTTAATGGTATAACGCTTTCAACCATTCGTTATGAACTATAATGTTCGTACAATGAATTGGCTCTGCAAATGGTGTTTAATATTGTTGGCCGTACAACAAAAGCTTATGAAAAAGCTATTCAAAAGAAAATACATGAGTAGGAAAATATTAAAATCTAAAATTTGTCATTGCATAACTGTGGATGACCATATGCATTTTAGAAATAACAGTTTATAATATGAACATTATTTGTAATATTAGTATCATAAAAGTCTTCAATGCAACGTGTTTTGCAACTGTGACGACAAATTGAGCCGACGTTTAACAAGTACTGATACGCCCAGCAAACACCATGGAATGTCATTGCCAGGCGAGAACGGATTCTATATGTATTATAATTTGAAAAAAATAACAAATATGTTGTAATTGACTCTATCGGAATAGACACATTTATTAGTGATGAGATACGTTTTTCATACTGCTCAAAACTATCAAATACATGTCTAGTGTAAAAATCAAAGACCAACTGATCAAACTGTTTCAAAATACAGCCATATTACTGTATCGTTATCTGGTATGCCCCAGACCTGTTCGAATTATTTAAGCGATATTAACATATTCGATTTATGTCAACTGATTTCTTAATGAGTGGTTACTACCTACCGTTTTCGCTGTTTTAAAATGATATCATTGGCAAAATCCCAGGTGTGGGGCTCAAAACTAAAACTATATGAGTATTTATTGTATAGACAAATACAAATTTGAAGACCAATTTCTACTCCATCTTTCAACACGTATGTCGAAGGCTTTGAACTGACTCAGTTTGGTATGATTAGAGATGGAAACATTGTTGTCATAGTTTGTTCAATTGAATTAAATTCAGAATGATACTATAAGTTTTTATGTTACATTTCACGCTACACAATTTACAATTAACAATAAAAGACACATTAATTAAATTATGAAATACTTTCGAACACTGCCACACTGTTCATGCAATATAGTTAAATTACTTTAATTTCAGTAAAGTTTATAAACCTGGTGATTGCTTTATAGAACTTGATATAGGAATATGCACAAATATACTCTACCTCTGTGACGATCTAACATAAACTTTTACTTATTAATAATCTTTGCTGCACTGCATATATTTTTCAAAGTTGCTGGTAGCCATGCAATAAGATTCAGATGATAATTAATCTTAGGTCTCGGGTGTGATGCATGCTTAAATGCAAATTCCACTAGGATCACCAATGTCACAGTAATCCCATTGCACTCCAGGACTTGTTGTAAAACACCATACGCCACTATCGCCATCGGGATTGCGACAATAGTTGTGATCTCCAACGTCATAATATTCAGTGAACGTCCATACCTCACAAGTATGTCCTCCTATTGTGGAACTGACCGTTCCATCATAGTCGCTCCCGTCAAAATGTTCGTAACACTCTTGTGGATTCGGCACTAAATAATGTAAAAAAATACGAATTATTATTTTGTATATAGTATGTTGGCCATAGTATAGCAATTATAAATTACGCTACAGATGTAGCTGAATTAGATTACGGTATGCACCTTTGTTGTATGTTTTTTTTTTTTTTTGATATCCGATCTAGCTGGCATTGGATCTCAAGATCTCACGAGTTGTATGACGTCAATCGAATGTTTAGAAATTAACGATTATGTTCACAGAACTGAACGATATTATTGTCCAGAAACATATGTATATGATTTGCGAATGAACAAAAACATAGGGGAAAACGGTGCGGAACAAACATCAATGCTTTCATATAATTACTATTTTCATTATTTTTGGTATCTTTGAGAAAAAAAAACACGTTTTTTGATTATTCGTTCCCATTCATTTGTATTATCTGGTTTACACGTAACATTTGCGCTGTTGTAGCACCGCCGTAAATTTAACGATGGTGTTATTTTTACCATGTGACCAGTTTACGCCAGTGTAAAAATGGAGGATTTTACAACGGCGTAAACTTTCTTACCAGAGTCCGCGCTAAATTCTAAACAAAAGTGTGTGTGAACAAGCACAGTGACATAAACAGCGGCACAAGCGCCCATATCGATAATGCGTGTCCATGTCAATGTCAACGTCCGTGGCGAGAACTGATGCATGTACCGCTCTGGTCAGTGGAGTTAGTAGTTTCGGAAATAATTAGAGTGATAATGAAGTCCTAATTCTGATTTCTATTTCGCAATAAGAAAGTAACTTTTAGATTGATAGGCAGAACCTCTAGCGATAGCCAAGTTTACAGAATTGTTGCAGAAAAAAAAAACATTGTGGTTTTAAAGACCCACAGATCAGTGCCATCGAAAAGTATAAATTCAAAGAAGTAAGCAGCAAATCATAACCGTAGTAGTGGTGTACGGCTACTCAAACACGGACCTACGTACAGAGAGCGTGCTACACAGGTATGATTTAGAATTACACCAGCGCTTTAAGTGTTATGTGATCGCAATTTAAATACGCCGTTGTAGGTCAAGTTCGATCAATGTTGTTCTCACTTGCTCTACAATTATGGTGTATTTCTAATCTGTGTGAGCCAGGTATTGAACGCAATGATTCCATTTATTTTCGAAATACAAAAGCCTCGACTCATCATTCCTTGACATGGATTCCCAAAAGGAAAGCAAATATGAATAATAAGGGTAACATTTCATGATGAAATGACGAGAATGAAAAGACTTTTACTATTTCACTATTTAATATTCAGAGCGGCAATTTCGTACGTATTTGTGTTTGTAGCACCAATATACTCATTGTAGCTCATCCTCTATACAGGCACAAGCACATGCCATTGTGTATCCGGGTTGACACAGATAATATGTACGTTTATAATACCGTGACAAATTAGATTTGGTCGGTTTTTATCAACGATTGTTGTCAAACGTAATTGTGAAATATATTGTCTGATTGCTACATTCAACATCAAGAAAACTGAAATGACACTCAAATTTATAAACTTTGAATTGAAATCACAAACCGTCAGTAGTAAACCATTGCGTTGGGTAAGGGGTTGTCGAAATTTCTTCTGAGTTAAAGAAAGATGTTGTATCTGCAATCAAAAAAGTGCTATGAAGTCGATCATTACGATAATCACTGAAATAACCACACAGAATGAACATCCATAGTTTTAAATTCATTGTCAAACGCGCACGCCAAAAGCTAATCATTTGACATTTCTTGGACAGTTTTGCAGTGGATATATATATATATATATATATATATATATATATATATATATATATAAATATATTAGTACTGTCAGTCATCAAGTGCATACAACATTTGTTTTATTTTTTTCCTAACATTGAATTGGAATGACGAACCTTGATTCACTTCAGTAGTAAACCATTGCGTTCGGTAAGTGGTTGTCGAGATATCTTCTGGGTTCGTGGAGAGAGTTGTTGTATCTGCAATCAACAATAATTGATAGAGAATTTTGTGATTGTTCAGACAGATTCAAACAACGTAATTCACGATGATAAAATTACACACGGTGCCATAGATTGTAGAGCGTAACTCTATATGTCATTATCAATTCTACATATTTAGTATATAGAAGAGCGTAAAATAATAACTTGAAACATATTTTCTAAGATCCTCTAAAAGCGGACACGTCAATACAATTTTAGTAATTAATTTTTAGTTAGTTTATGCTACCACATAGGTTAGGTTATTGGAGATGGAATCACTATATCAGATATCTTCTTGAAGGACACTTCTTAATTTTAAAGTGCAATATCGCAATTGCATATCGATTCATAGAGGTTAGAAGTTATATCTCAGTAGTAAGCAAACAGAACGAATAGCAAATCCGAAAGGTAATAAATGATTGATTAGCAGTCATTGGTACTAAACAACTAATTATAATTGCTCGTAGATATATGAGTGTTGACAAGTAATGACCAACCTTGTATCACCTCCGTAGTTGAATTTTGCGTTAGGCCAGTGGTCGTACTTATCTCCCCTGTGTTTGTGAAGAGTGTTGTCGTATCTGTAATCGCAAAAACACAAAACAAATCGTTCGTATACACATTATACAAGAATACAATAGCTGAAATATTATCACTTAGATAACGAACACATTTACATTCAAATTAACTTAATAAAATCTCTCGTCCAGGTAACATGATTACAGTGATGAGCAACTAACAATAATCACTACACGCGGAACCTCAAACGTTTACATGGTGCAATTAGTTACTGTTTGTTAGCATTGTATATTTAATACGATATAAACACATGATTTGACGTGCAAGAATATATTCAATCGAAGTATGACATAAATCACAGACAATGATGCATCTCCATAGTTTGAACATTCGTTAGCTCATAAGTTGTATCAGTTGTATCAAAGCATTTTCCGTTCACTGCCAGATCCCGCGTTAATCGTAAAATCGAACGTAAAACACGACAAACAAATGTCATAGCGTCATAGTGGCGACACACATCGCGTGGTATTCGACAAACGCAAAAGTATTATGGGAGATTTTTCCATGCTTAATAATACGCTGTTAACATTTGACGATGATCAGTTTCGATGAAGTAACAGTATTAAAACGGAATGTTCGATTTTTGAGGCAGACGTTCGGAGTACGTATTTAGCGCAACTTGCGAGGTATCGATGTTGGGGGGGGGGGCAAATCATATATTGGTTGTCTAGCTCAAATAGAAGAGCTTTTCAATTACGTAATATTATTTTAAACTTACCGTCAGAAACTGTGACAGACACGTGTGCTTCTGTGCCAGTTGTTATTATTGATGTAACATTAGTTATTGTTATTGTTGTTGCTTCTGAAAACAAAAAAAGAAACATTATGGTGCGTAACAGATTGGCTTAGAGTATTGTATGATATTGTGATAAATGTGTCATGTGTGAGTAGTTAGGCCTCTACACTCGTGACTCATCATTAGAAAACTACAAGCGTGAGAAATATATTTGGCGATGAATATATTCGAGGTTCCGGTGGTATAATAAAACAAACTTATTCATATTTTCAGTGAGAGAAAAGTTTAACTTGTGTCAATGTGTTTGTGCCTAATCAGTTCGATCGTACTTAATCAAACCATCTGGGCATTCCCTTCATGTTTTATGATGCATTATTTATCAGTTCGTCCATATTTATCTTTTGGTCACTTAATCTATGTTTTTCATCCGGGGACAACCATGTATTATACGCAATTTAACTCTCCCAGCTTGTGAATAATTACCGTAAGATGAAATGCTGAACGTTTGATACAAATGTCGTAAACATCGTTATATTATCCTACACAATATTTGATTCCTGTATTGTACGTATTTAACTCCTAGTATTGTATAAAACATAATAAGTGGAAGCAAATGAAGCAAATGAAGTGTAGCAAAACCAGGCGTACAATCAAGTGCCATTTTGCGTGGAGTGATTGGTAGATGACCTCAATCAAAGAAGCTTACAATAATTCTGAGTGAAGTATTTTTGTAGGCCCAAAAACATATTTATTTATTTATTTTTTCTCATCATCCTAGATAACTAATACATATGTACTGTAGTTTATTTTGATTCGTCCCTGAAATCAAAATCGGTATTTCCACACCTTGTATACAAATGAGGTCTGAGAGCATACAAGGTAATCCCTTCAGGAGTACCGTTTTTCAAATCATAGCAGGAATAAACAATATTAAGAAGTACGATATTTTTCTCTTGAGGGATATACTTGCCGAATGAAAAGAAATGTTAACAACAATAATGGTAACTTTAGGCAGTCACTTATTTTGAAAAAAACAAATTTGAATATCAGCCATGCAATAATGTTTTCGGTATTTTCACGGTCGATATGCAGATGAGCATGGTATGTTTTACTTTCGTCTGCTATTTTTGTCCGGTTCAAATCGTTCAGCAATATGTTGGGCATGTTAGGTGTACATCACATGGAATACTACGATTAAGAGAACTTAATGTATGTTAACCACCTGGAAACTGAGTTTTATAAACCTTGAAAGGCTCTCGGAAGATCCACCTGCAGTAAAATCAGCGATTACTATGGAGCCGCAACCATAAACATCGAGATACCAGGAGGTTTCTGCTTGAGACGTTGCGGCGTTACTCAGTTCCAAATAATATTTACCAACGCCAAATGAGCAACATTTTAACCGGGAACCAAGACTCAGTCAATCCACGACCAGCAAGCAACATCACATGGGAAGTTGTAGCGTGCAGCTCAGAGACGACCGCTGCCGACGAAAGTCACCCCGTCAGTGGAGTACCACAGTAGCATGGCATGTTTGCCAATGTACAATTATGTGGAGTAACTTTTAATTTCAACATAAACTGTGTATCATATACAGTCGTCCAGTTCAAGTTCTGGTTCTGTCGTGGTCCCAACTAAACGTCCACGAGTTATGTATTCGGAGAGTGACTTAGATTAGATTTGTTGCAAGTGCATTGGTTGTCCTCTTCCAAAGCTAAGTATTTATTCTCCCTGGTAGACCCCATACCGATGCACTTGATGAAATCCCAGACTTGTTTGTGCAGGTACGGAGTCAGCTCCACTGGTGTTTGTATTAACAAGCTGTAGGGCAGATTTTATAGAGAGAGTTGCAATCAAAAGTTCATGTAGTCACATGGATAGTAGCACCTTTCGTCTTTCTTAGAGATTGGCATTGCACTGTAATTCGAGAAGCTTAAGCTAAGTTGGATTTTGTTAACTTGTCAAAGAGAGCTTATTAAAAATTATTGTTTATGACCTGCTGTATCCCTATTTAGATATACATTTTTGTATTTTTCAGAAGGCATGATATCCTTCCATTTACATCAGGTCATTATAGTCTTGGTCTATCAGGTTTTCAAAGACAAGTCAATTGGTTTAGGGCTCAACCTCAAAGTTACATGGTTTTTGGGCTTCACCTTCACCAGTATGACAGTGGTCTCACATGCAAAATAGTGGCTGCTCTGATGTCTTTGTTAATTTGGTCATCTCCATAAAATGTTCTCACTTTTATTTGTGACGCATTTTGTGTAATTTGATATTTCTAGACGTGTGTATTTTTTGTATGCCAATAGACGCTCACGAGAGGGCGCTAATAATGATCGAATTTACTGGAGCTTAAGGAGTCTTTGTCCACTATAAATGTAGGTCACAGGTCAATTTCAATTAGTCGTTTATTATCACAGAGTTTGGACACACGGCTAATCACGGACACCTTGCCACGTGGAGGCATTCAGTTGCTTCGTTACGAGTTCTCAAAGACAGATTGTTTCACGTCAAGCCGAATTGAAGACAATGTACAGTTTCACTATGTCATTCCATGAACGTTTGTAAGAACTGCATTCTCTCTCTCAGCAAGATTTACAAGAACTCACTACCATCCAGCAATCGCGTCGCAATTGTTCAAGCCGAAGCCAGCCGAAGATTAGGCCATGTGTTGTTTGCGTCGAAAAGATTGACTTTTGAAACTGGGTATTTTAGTGTCCACGTCGTTTTATGACTCCAGGCGACTGTAAATGTATTTTCCTTGCGTTGTCTAATTCTGTGTGTCTTACCACACTGTTAATGTATTATGCTGAATTTGTGAATTTATTGTTCATTTGAATTAATGTCTTTTGATACCTCGTGAGCGCACTATATTTATTTACACGAATACAATAATAGAATTTGACAATATGCTGTGTTTGTGTTTCTTGTTGCGAACCCCTTGTTTGGGTTTGGGTCAACGGAAAGATTCCAGTCTGTCCGTCATCCGACTTTAGACCCAAACTCGGCCGTAACATATTATTTACCACATTCTTTTTGCATTCATGGAAACTTTATCATTTATTAATTTTGACATTTTATTTCTACTAATTGTAATTTTAATCATGATTTGTGTAACTAATTCTCCTCTACAAATAACCCGTGGCTGTGGGGATTATTCCAAATAAATAAACAAAACAATATATTTAAAAGATTATTAAAAATTCACATGTTTCGTTGCCAATGTATTATGATAATTGAGCAGGATTAAAACTCACCTTCGGTAACTTTGTCTGGCTCATTCGTGCTTATTTGAGTACTAAATAATGTGACAGTAGTTCTTGCCGTGGTTGTTACACCTGAAAATACAGAAAAGAGAAGTTCATTATTGTTAGTAGATTATTCATTAGTAACTACAAATAAAATTAACCGACGTGGTCGTGTATATCACTACATGAATTGAACATACATAAACACACTTACTACAATCTTCACGAGGGCTACCGATGTCGCAATACTGCCAACGAACGTTTGGGTTCGATGTATAACACCATACACCTACGTCCCCATCGGGATTTCGACAGAAATTGTGATCATCAACGCCAAATTCGTACCAAACATCCGGGATGTAATATTGGGAAGACGTCCACACCTGACAAGCGTTACCATCTATTGTTGTGTTAACAATTCCACGGTAGTCACTGCCATCAAGCTCAAGATAGCACTCAGTCAATTCTAACAAATACACAAAGTATATATACATTTGAATTTGAAAGGCAAATTTTGTAATTCCCCAATTCCGTTTGCTAAGTGCAGTGTATGAACGCGTACACTATTGACAATACGATTTGAACAGATTTATATATAAGCATCTTACCTCTTTCGGCATGTCCGGTTGTCAAGACTAATACAGTAACTAAAATGACGATTAACGCTACGACAGCTATACAAATAATCAAAATGACTACTATGTTCCGCTTGCAAAATTGAGTACCCTATATAAGCAAAACAAATAAACACAAGTAATATAAATCAAATCCATACACTCATGTGTAACGGTGTCGATATAATGAGAATTTTACTGACGTGATTACCGTGACAATGATGTTGACGAGTTTATTTTTACTGTGAACCTGCCCTACGATATTTAAAAAAATACATTACTGAAATTGCTTGCAGGTTAATAACAGAAATACAATCGCCTCAACACAAAGTAAGTGTCAATTTTGGTGAATTTGTGTGATGCTGTAATCACCAAGTATTGCAATTCAACTTTGTTTTGCGTAATAATCTTCGGCAAGACGATCTCTTTGTCCCTGAAGAAATACGCTCGCTATGTTTCGCCAATCTTTCAGGAAAATTGTCAACACTCATCAAACCTTTATTCACTGTAGTTCATTAGTCTAAATAACTCTCTAATGTCTGACAGGCTCGCTATTGACTTGTGACTGTGACAGATTGTGGCTGTGACTGATTTTGACTGTTCATTTTAACTGATTCGGACATACTGATACTCATCCGGCACGCATTCACATGGTTAAGATCATACTACTATCTACAGGGTAAAATTCATGCATAGTTCTATTAAATAAAAATCTGAAACAAACAAATACTCAATTTCTTGTAACTGCATCCCCTTTACGGAAATATTGTACTTTTTTACAATCAGAAAAAAAAACTATTGTTATTCTACAATTGTGTTCTACCGTGTTCTACCGTAAACATGTCTTTATAATAAGCTACGTATATTTGATTACATTACTGCTTGCCGCATATTCTTGATAAAATACCACTGGCAATGTTACATGTTGAAAACTGCTGTCTATTTGTGTATCTGAATTAATAAATAACAACCTACCAATACACTTTCTACTTTATCATTATTCAAGTATAAATACTATTTGCACATTTGTTAAACGTAAAAAGGATATATAATAAGTGTTTACTTCATGAATTCACTTCGATATTGTAGCCATATACTGTTTCACAATTTGTTTGACCCAACACTATTAGCGATATTTACATAGTTAGCATATATTTATTATTTTTACCTTATGTTAAAAAAAATACGCTGTTGTAAAATAGCTTTGTATAGTCGAATACACCACTCATTAAAAATTGTGAAGAATATACAATGTAACATTCGAGGACGGTCCAATGGTCACTTTCATAATATTATTGTAATTTCATTAAAGCTTCTTGGAATATGAGTATACTTACCAAATTATCTTCCATTATTTGGCTGTTGTTTCTGTTAAATATAACATGTAATAATATTGATAAATATTATCCACTGTGTAAGGATATATGGAACGACTAACTCATTTCAAAATATTCTTACTATATATTCTGAAACGAATTCAAATACATTTAAGGGACCTTTAAATAATTTATCTACATTGATATTTTACTATCCCACAATCATACCTTGAAACTTTAATATCAGTAGCGTCGGTCTACTATCAATTATGTACAATGAATATGCCACACGCATATGACGTTGTCAGTTTCAACACTGTTTCTACCATACATTATCCTTTTATTTGTTTCTATCTATATTATTAGTATTAGGCGTTCTTGTAAGCTGAATATATTTAGAATCTGTGTGACAGTTTTTCATGTGTAATCACACTATTGCGGTAAAATGAATGTTGATCAACGCTGGCACGAGATGTCATTTGTTGTGAATGTGTATAAATATGCTTTTTTTGTATCTAGCCACAAGGTGTGTTTCTATGTATGTTTCGTGTTGAAATACACTTATTTTGTATGTCAGAAATGAAAATCATGGCTAGCTGGGTTTATATCATCAAGGCTAAAAATATCGCGTTATGGTTAGAAACACAGGCATTCAATCCCTTGATTAATTGAACCGAAAAAAGACAGTATTTCACAAAGGATTAACAAATAATATTGGTATGTTATTTTTAGAATTGTTACCTGCCACTCAATTTTGATATGTTTTTGTTCTTTTTGTGATGTGTGAATTAGAAGTCGTGAATAGTATGAGCTACCTAAAA